CTTCAAGTCGACTCCCAATGGGTGGGCGACAGGGCCAGAAGTAACGACATCGCATGCTGAGGAAGAGCACAACTCCGAAGAAGAAGAAGATGACGATGATGATATGCCACCACTCGAGGCGAACACAAACAGGAATAGACCGTTTGACGTGCATTCCGACACAGAGAGTGATTCTGATTCTTGAACTGGTAGACGACTTGGGAATAGGAGCCGTGGACGATGTATGTCATCCTATATATGGTTACCTTCCACCTGTACACCACACCTGATGTATTTATGCTCGTCGAATTTGGGCACGACATGATAAACTTGCTGCCCAATCTGTGAAAGATATAGTCTGAGTGAGTTTTGTAGTACGACATTAAGTGGCTGCAGGGCATGACGAAGCTTGTCGTCGTCACCTGTGCTGTAATATGAAGAAAACAAGGTTTTGTTCCATATGTTGCGTGTTATTTCTGGATGTTATAGTAGGTACAATTGTGCCCACCAAGAAGAGAAGAGTTTTACAACAATTCAGCTGGTGCTACTACTACTAGTTTCTCGCTTTTCACCTGTTGCTTGTTCCTTTCTGCAAGTGTTGTTTCCAGTCTAATTGCAGTTGAGGTACAAGTCGTTGGTGGATGTAGTGGAATCTTGGTGTGGTGTGTCTGTTGTATTCCATTCCATGTGGTGGTATGCAGGAGATTCAGTAAAATTTGATTTGTTTGGAATAAATATGCTGCTCATCAATTTTTGCAGACATGCTTGATTGGATCATACTGTACATGTTAATTTGTTTGTTGAAATTTCAAATCTAATCATTCGACATTATAACCCAACTCCATCCATCACATATAGTATCTGCCATTTGAACAGCCATTTAAATTTAAAACCCTGGCTCTAGCTTATTTCATTTTTGTGCAGAAGCATTTTTCAAGCTTACTTAATACTAGTGCAGGACAAAATGGGCAATTGGAAGGAGTGAAGATTTGCCAAAATGCACCGAGTTTTAATCATTTATTACTGTTTGCAGATGATTCGTTAATCCTTGTGAGAGCTTGAGAAGAGAGAAACTTATACGAGGACTGCTGAGCAGGACAATGACTGGAAAATCCATTGGTTGGTTATATATCAGCTTAGCATGTGTTTTAACTTGGCAATGCTAGCCAAGAAGAAGCAGGGTTGGCACCTTGTTCAGAATCCTCAAAGTCTGTGTGCTTAAGGCCAAATATTATCATCCGACTAGCTAGAGAGAGATGTGCTCCAAGCAAGCATCTTGAACCCAAGGAGGGTATGTCCTACACTAGACATGCAGTGAGAAGCATCTTCAAGGGCCCAGCGAGAGGTGGTCGTGGGCGACGGATGGGTCGAGCATCAGAGTTTGGCTTGGCTTCCAAGAGGCTGGGATCGTAGGCCTTTTAGTTATACCCCAACAAGTGGAAGGAATGTTGTTGTTGAAACTGTTGCTCAAATCATGGATCCTGCTGTAACTTAACTGGGGACTGAGCTGCTGGTTAATCCATCTTTTTTATTTGTGCTTTCTTACGAGCTCTGCATCAGTAGTCTATCTACTTGATAAAATCAGGATTGTTAGCTTGTCGTCCTTCCTCTCGATTGTGTGTCCCTGATTCACTCATCTTTCTTATGCCAGGCCGGCTATCTTCAAGTCAAGTCCCAATGGGTGGGCGACACGGCCACAAGGAACGGCATCGCAGGTTGAGGAAGAGCAGGACTCTGATGAAGATGATGATATGCCGCCACTTGAGGCAAACACGAACAGAAATAGACCGTTTGACGTGCATTCCGATACAGAAATAGACCTCTAGTGTAATATGAAGAAAACAAGAATGTTCCATATGTTGCACCTACCTTATTGTGGTTGTGGATGTTATTGTGCAAGTGTGTCCTGTCTGCTTGCTTTTCACCTTAAAAACCCATCGGAAAGGACCCAGCAGGCTAGCTTTGCTTTGCCCTGCCTAGTTAATTGCGGTTGTACTAGGTCTCAAGATTGTGCCACAGCTGCACAAGAAACAAGTTCACCAATTTTGACAACTGAAGTCACACAAATTGATATGATTTACTCCTACTGATGAACAACTCTTGCCATCTGAGAGAGAGCCTCAACAAATCAAGCTACCTTTAGAGGAGCATAATAATATATACTTATATTATTGGCGCTCTGCATTTTGCTAATAGTTAAGTGTGGGTTCATTCTCTTCTTGGTGCATTGTCAATGTGTTTGTTACTTATTAAATCTTTAATATTGTGCTTTGACTTGGGTAGAAAGTAGTGATGATATTATAAATTGGCATTCCTTTGAATAATTCCTTTTCAGCTGCCCAACTTCCATTTGCTTTTATATACCAGACCTGGTTATCATTAATTCCAACTGTGTGGCATGCATCCTGAATGTGTTTATCATCAAATCTAGCTCATAAAATTTGTTTATAATGTTGTTGAATGCCCATGGTTCTATGCGTGAATGATCAATCGTTGGTATCTACTAGCTTTGTTTCTGATTTAGTATCCTGAGGATGCATGGTAGCTGGAATCAAACTGCGTGGCGTGCTGGCGATTTAAAGTATTCCTCCTCTGGCATGGCTTGATCAAGATTTGTGGGCACATGAAAAACATACTACTAGAAAATACCAAGGATTTGTTTGCTCTGTCTACCATTCTGGTTGAGAAAGAAGTTGTTGGTGGCGTGTGGACGCTGCCTGATATGCTTTGATGGGCTGAATCCAAACCGGGTATGCTTGATGTGCTGAGGCCAAACCAAGTTGTTGATGCTTGATGCTTCCTTGGGGCCAGCTATGCTATGCTATGGTGTTGGTGGACGCCTCCCTCTGCTAACGTTTCTCCCAGAATTGGACCTCTTCTCCCTGGATGATTTCTTCTCATACTTTGATGGCTTAATTAATTAACTAGGAAGATCGATGCCTCACAAGTGCACAACAAAGAAGCTGACAAGAGGTTTCAAGAAAAGAGAAACTCACATGAAAATCTTCAAGGCCCATTTCATCTACTATTTAAATTTCTGAATTGTTAAGATGATTTTGTATCTTTGGCTATTAATCTGTGTTTAGAATACTGTTTAATTTCTATTCACTTCATTCGCTGCTAATCAATATAAAATAACTGGACCATAACACTTGTGATGCAAACACTTCAGTTCCCTCCAAGACTGCAAGATGCATTGAAAGATGTTTTATGTCTTAAAATCCAGAATGGGCGAAGTACAACATAAACTGGCATATGTACAAACCGAAACCATTGATATAGAGTGATCAAAGTAGCAGCCAGGATGACCTAAGTAGAAAGATAACTTGTAAGTGTACAATCAGCAGGAATCATCAAATTAGCTTTGCTGGCTATCAATCCAAACAAAACTAGAAAGTTCCCCATCAACCCGAGCAGATGCAACTCAAGATTCCACTGAAGATTCTAGAGAAGAACATTCTCTTCTGAAAAATCAAGTCCATAATCTACAAACTAGAATCATATTTATTGAAGATGACATTAATCGAAGAAATGGCAAGAGTAGAATGTTCAAGGCAAACTATTTGTTCAAGAAGCATCAATGAGAAGAACATTCCCTTCGGAGAAATCAATTCCATAACCAACAAACCAGAATCATGACACTAACCGGAGACATGAGAAAAGTAGAATGTTCAGCAAACCACGAATTATGGCACATATATAAATTACCTGGTACAAATTTGCACTCAAAAGCAAAAGCAGATAACAGCGACAATTAGTGTCAAAAATAAAATCATCTGAAACTTAATTTGACCCAGTAGTACAATATGGGGGAGAGGAATAGTACAAAGGTAGCCAATACAATAAAATCATCTGAAACTTAATTTCACCCGTGCAATATCAAAATCAATTGTAAATTCTAATTGGTGTCATCGATGCAACTGATGGTGCAGCTGCAAGAGTTTTCCAACAATTCAGCTGGTGCTACTAGTTGCAGGGGATTCTCCCCTGTTGTTACTTTCTACAAGTGTTGATTCCTGTCTTCTTGCCTTTCACCTTGTGGATCGAAAAGAACCCATCAAGCAAGCCATCTTTGCCCTAGTTTAATTGCAGTTATGTGGTTGTATGCAGGAGATTCGGTAAAATTTGATTTGTTTGGAATAAATACGCTGCTCATCAGTTTTTGCAGACATGCTTGATTCGATCATACTGTACATGTTAATTTGTTTGTTGAAATTTCAAATCTAATCATTCAACATTATAACCCAGCCAACTCCATCCATCACATATAGTATCTGCCATTTCAACAGCTAGCCATTTAAATTTAAACTTAAAAACCGGGCTCTAGCTTGTTCGTGGCAATCTCATGTAACCTGTATCTAACCATGAATCCAACGCCATATATGAGAGAAAAACAAATAAATCTCATGTAATCCTGCTTGTTCGTGACAAATTTGACAGTCAACTTTTTTAGAGTTCATTCTTGGTGCATTGCCAATGTGTTTGTTACTTAATTTTAGGTTAATATAATGTCCAGTGGGCACATATGAATTCTTTTTACCTACTGTCTTCTGTATATGTTTGAAACTGATTGCTGCTAGCTGTTAATTTTACCCGAACAGAAAAACTACTTGTCAATAATAATGCCCCAGATTCAGAAAACATGCTGATCACGACTACTATAATTAAGCAAGATATGCATGCATCCTATATATGTCAGGATTTTTAGCTGTTTACAATGGTGAAGTGATGAATCTAATTATAGTAATGCACCCCTTCCAATTAGAAACAGTCTGAAACAATGAGTCATGTGAAAAAACAAAACACCTAGATAACACTACTTGATGTATCAGATGAGATTCCTCACTAATTAACATGAACTGGTACTAGCTAGAATTTTGCACTCAAAAGCAAAAAGCTACAATGTCAAAATAAAATCATCTCAAACTTAATTTGTTTCACCCCTAAAACATAATCAAACATAATATGGGGAAGGAATTAACACTAGTACAATATCAATCAAAAGCGGTTGTAAATTCTAGCTAATTGGTGTCGTGGTCGATGGCAACGACTGAAGAAGCTGCAGGAGTTGCTGTGGCCTTGTACTTGTACCACTTTGCTATCCAGAGGTAGACGATGAAGTTGATGGCGCTGAGCACGGCCAGCACCCAGTAGAAGTAGTCGAGGTGGCCGCGGTTGAGGTTGTCGTCCGGGATCCACCCGAGGCCGCCGTTCCTCGTCGAGATGGCCGTCACGATCACCACCAGCAGCGTGCTCAGGTAGTTTCCCAGCGCGTTAGACGTGAGCGACAGCGCCGACCCCATGCTCCTCATGGCGTCCGGCGACTGGTCGTAGAAGAACTCGATCTGCCCCACGAACGTGAACACCTCCGCCGCCCCCACGATGAAGTACTGCGGCACCTGCCAGAAGATGGACATGGGCAGGTACTCCTTGGAGTCCAGCATGCCGTGTGTGGCGGCGACGTGGAGCCTGACAACCTCCAGCACCCCGGCGGCCACCATGGAGAAGATGGATATCACCAGGCCGATGCCCATGCGCTGCAGCTGCGTGAACCCGCGCGGGTGGCCCGTGATCCGGCGTGCGGCGGGGACGATGAGCCGGTCGTAGGCCAGCGCCCACACGATGACGGCGATGGTGTCGAAGATGGAGAGCGACGCGGCGGGGATCTTGAAGGAGGCGCCCATGCGCGGGTCGAGGGTGTTGCCCTGGAGCACGAACATGGTGCTCATCTGGCTGTACACCGCCGACATGACGATGCCGCTCGCCCACACCGGCAGCAGCCGCACCATGCTCTTGAGCTCCTCCACCTGCGTCACCGTGCACAGCCTCCACGGGTTCTCGTCCTCTTCTTCAGCGCCGCCGGGCGTCGTCACAATTACGGCGGCCTTGTCCAGGCACCTCAGCTGATCCGTGTGCTCCAGCCTCCTGCTGCCCTCGATGGCGGCCTTGCCGTCCGGCGAGGCCACCTCGTGCAGCAGGGAGGCGTCGGCGGGGAGCGGCACGTGCGACTTCCTGCAGGCGGCGACCAAGACCTGCAGCATCCTGGTGAGTGGGCTGCCCCCGGGCTTCTGGTACCTGTAGAGCCTGCTGCCCATGAGGAAGCTGACGACGGCGACGGCCATGGCGGCGGCGGGGACGCCGAATCCCCAGCCCCAGCCGACGTTCATCTGGACCCAGACGAGCACCGAGGAGGCGACGAGGGCGCCGACGTTGATGGACATGTAGAACCAGTTGAAGAAGGAGCTCTTGCTGCGCATCTCGCGCGGGTCGGCGTCGTCGAACTGGTCGGCGCCGAAGGAGGAGACGCAGGGCTTGATCCCGCCGGTGCCGACGGCGATGAGGTAGAGCGCGGTGAAGAAGGCGGCGGTCTGGCCGGCGGCGGGCTTGCAGCCGGCGCAGTCGGGCGGGCGGAGGCCGGGCACGGTGGCGGTGAGGGTGAGGAGGGCGAGGCCGGCGATGTAGAGGGACATGAAGGCGGCGATGGTGCGGAAGCGGCCGAGGTAGGCGTCGGCGATGAAGGCGCCGAGGAGGGGCATGACGTAGCAGGTGCCGGACCAGTTGTTGACGTTGGTGGCGGCGGCGGCGTTGCCCTGGTGGAGGCGGTCGATCATGTAGTTGACCAGATTGGAGCTCATGCCGTAGTAGGCGAGCCGCTCGCAGCACTCGTTGGCCAGGATGAAGGGGCACGCCCTCCAACCCCCCGTCTTGCCCCTCACCGCCGGCTTGCCGGAGAGGTCCGTGGTGCCATCCATGGTCGTCGCACCCGCCGCCATCTCGTTCGTTGGGGGTGATCGATGAGATCGCTTGATTTTTGTTGTTGAGGGAAAGAATAAACGTACGTAGCTATGTTGGTACGTAGAGATAGATAGATATAGTAGGTTGGGGCGATCCGAGTCTGATTCCATATCGATCGCTTAATTTGATCCTAGGTAAAAAAAACATTTATTACCTAGGAAAAAGTTGTCTTAAATTTGTCTACATATATGTATCTGGACACGTTTATATCCGTATCTAGACACATTTTATGTAGACAAATCTAAGACAATCTTTTTAAAACGGGAGGACTATTTTAAGATGGTTTGAATCTGTATTTTGGTTCATATATACAGAGGCGCTTGATAATTCGCGTGACAATAGGTTTTTTCTTTCTGCACAAAAAGCTACTATTATATCATAACTTTTAGAAAGAGGTAAATACACCGGTGGTGCTTGAACTTGCCATGGACGTTCACTTTAGTGCCTGAACTTGAAAAATACATTAAACTGGTTCTAAAACTTGACATGAATGTGCAAATACGGTGTTAATCTCATCCGTAGACGTACTAGGCATCGACAGTGGTGCTTGAACTTGCCATGCATGTTTACTTTGGTGCCTGGATTTGGAAAATACATCGAATTGGTTCTAAAACTTGAGATGAACGTGCAAAGACGGTGCTTATCTCATCTGGCATCGGGCCCACTTGTAGTGATGAGACAGGATTACTTAGCATATCATATGGCTCACTGATTAGTGGGTCCTGCATGTAAGTATAGGAAAT